TCCAGGTTAACCAAGGAATTATCATGTTCTGTTTCCTTCTTCCCTGATTTCTGTGTCTTTCAGGATCTATCCAGTGGCACGGTGAGGGGGATTGGTAAAGAAAAATGTGGCTTGTACATCTTCAGATCAGGAGGTGAGAGACAAATGAAACAAATAAACAAGTACTCTACAGGAATAAATATGACAGCAACAGTGGATACCACTTCTGGAAACTATCATCTATGGCATATGAGACTTGGACATCCATCTTTGTCAGTCATTAAAGGGATAGATATAGCAGTGATGAAGAGCAAATGTAATAGTCTAGTACATGAAAATTGTTCAGTATGCCCAAGGGCTAAACAATCTAGGTTGAAGTTCTCAACTAGTGACTCATGTAGTGACTTTCCATTTCAACTTGTACATTTAGACCTTTGGGGACCCTATAAAACTACTACTCTTGATAAGAAATCATATTTCCTCACTATTGTTGATGATCATAGCAGATTTACTTGGGTGTTCTTATTACAGTTCAAGTCAGATGTTGTAGTAGTATTACAAGATTTTTTGTCTATGATAAAAACTCAATTTGATGTTGCTGTCAAAGTCATAAGGTCAGATAATGGCACTGAATTTTTTAATTCCAAATGTAATGAGTTGTTGAGTCAACATGGGATTGTGCACCAAAGTAGTTGTGTACACACACCACAACAAAATGGCAGGGTTGAAAGAAAACACAGACACATCTTGGACACAGCCAGAGCTTTGAGGTTCCAAGCTGATATTCCCATAAGATACTGGGGTCTATGTGTGAAGGCTGCAGTGTACCTCATTAATAGACTTCCATCCACTGTGTTACAAGGCCATACTCCCTATGAAGTCCTGTACAAGATGAAAAATCACATTGATCATCTAAGAGTATTTGGTTGCCTCTGCTTTGCTACAAACTTAGTCAAGCATGACAAGTTTGCAGAAAGAGCAAGGGAGGCAGTTTTTATGGGATACTCTGAGACACAAAAGGGATATTTACTATTGGACCTCAACACTAACCTTTTCTTTGTTAGCAGGGATGTTCAATTTAGAGAAACCATATTTCCTTTCAGGAACAAACCATCTGCAGCTACACAGGAGAATCACATGTTCATTGAACAAGAGCTGGTGCAATTTTCTCCTCTAACACCTGTAGAGCCTCCTGCAGAGCTTATTGAATCTGGTGGAGCTGTAATCCCAGAGACTAAAAATGTTGACACTATGACTAATGATCATGCACTTGTGGCTGATAACACACAAGATACTGATGCTATGACTGTTGAGCATGTGTTTGTGGCTGATGATACACAGGACAATGCTATGATTGAAGCTCAAGCTCAGGTGATTGCTGATGCTCATCATGTTGAACAACCAACTGCACCATACATCAGAAAATCCCATAGACTTTTAAAGGAGCCCATATGGATGAAAGACTATGCTGTCCAGAAAAAAAGAAGCACTAGTACACCCTATGGGAAATTATATCTCTTATGAGAAGACATCCCCTAAATACCAGTGCTACCTAACCAAAGTCTCTAAATTAGTGGAGCCACAGAGATTTCAAGAGGCTACAAAGGACCCTAGGTGGATAGAGGCTATGAAGCAAGAAGTGCTAGCCTTAGAAGAAAACAAAACATGGGAAATTGTATCACTTCCAGCAGGAAAGAACACAGTGGGATCTAAGTGGATTTACAAAATCAAATATAAAGCAAGTGGTGATGTGGAAAGATTTAAGGCAAGGTTGGTGGCAAAAGGTTATAGTCAAAGAGAAGGCTTAGATTACCATGACACTTTCTCTCCTGTAGCAAAAATGGTAACAGTGAGATCTGTTATAGCTTTAGCTGCTTCTAGAGGTTGGAATATGTTTCAGATGGATGTTTATAATGCCTTCCTTCAAGGTGATCTTGAGGAAGAGGTATATATGGAGATGCCAGAAGGATTTAGACGGCAGGGAGAGACAAGAGTGTGTAAACTGCTGAAGTCATTGTATGGATTGAAACAAGCCTCAAGGCAGTGGAATATTAAACTAACTGAAGCATTGGTGAATGCAGGTTTTTCACAAAGCAATCATGATTATTCCTTATTCACTATGAAGGAACAGACTGATATTGTCATTGTGCTTGTATATGTTGATGACTTACTGATCACTGGTAGTAACATCACTCTGATTGAGAAGGCCAAACAGATCCTAAATCACAAGTTCAAGATGAAGGACTTAGGAGAGCTGAAATATTTCCTTGGCATTGAAATCATGAGGTCTACAAGAGGTGTACTGTTGAATCAAAGGAAGTATGTGTTGGAACTCATTTCTGAAATGGGACTGAGTGGATCAAAACCAGCAATTACTCCTTTGGAAGTCAATCAAAAACTCACAACAAGGGAGTATGATGAGGCAACTAATAGCACAGGAGATGAACTATTGTCTGATGCCAATGCATATCAGAGGCTAATTGGGAAGTTACTTTATGTGACTATAACAAGACCTGATATTAGTTTCTCAGTTCAGACCTTAAGTCAATTTATGCAGATGCCAAAGAGATCTCACTGGGAGGCTGCATTGAGGACAGTAAGGTATCTAAAAAATTCACTAGGACAGGGCATACTATTACAATCTGGAGTCACTCAGCAACTCACTTGTTGGTGTGATTCTGATTGGGCTTCGTGTCCAAACACTAGAAGGTCTGTTACTGGTTTTGCTGTCAAGTTCGGAAACTCTCTGATCTCCTGGAAATCTAAGAAACAACAAACAGTGTCCAAAAGCTCAGCAGAAGCTGAGTATAGAAGTCTAGCTGCAGCTGTGGCAGAACTGACTTGGCTGAAAGGGTTGTTTCAAGAATTGAGTGTGCAGATTAATACACCAATCAATATATTTAGTGACAGCAAATCAGCAATCCAAATTGCTGAAAATCCCATCTTCCATGAGAGGACGAAGCACATTGAGATTGATTGTCACTTTATTAGGGACAAGATCAAAGAAGGCACAGTCAAGGCTGTCTATGTGAACACTAAGGAACAACAAGCTGACTTACTAACTAAAAGTCTCACTAGCATTCAACACACACACTTGCTTGGCAAGCTTGGAGTGTATAACATTCTTGACCCTCCAGCTTGAGGGGAAGTATTAAAATGTATGTTGATTAATAGTAGTTGTAGATAGGCATATTGTATAAAGTGAGTTGTTACTGATAGTTAGTTAGTTGACTCAATTAGTTAGTGTTAATTTAGTTATTCCAGCTGTCATATTAGTTGTTACAAAGTAGTTAGTCGGTTAGAGAAAATGCTACTTTTGTTCATGTATAAATAGTGCTCAGTTGAGCTGAATGTATATACAGAATCATTCCACAAAATATCTTCTTCTTCAAGCTTTCTATTCTCTCTAATGGCTTCATGAATTTGTGCATTCGATTGTACAAATTATGACACATACTATATTTTTACTATATCTTAAGTTCATATGTTGCAAAGTCCAAATGATCGATAAATGACAAGAACAAATTTATTAGCTTCATTCTGTATGAATTTCAACTTCTAAAAGAGGCACCTGAACACATAATAAAGAGATCCTTCAACATTGCACCTACAGCAACAAGAAGCAGTTTAACCTTAAAAATTTTCGGATGTTCATCAAATTAGAAAATCAAGAAGTACTCAACAACAACAACAACAACATGGTTGATGTGTATTGAGCTATGAAGATGTAAGTGGAGAGAAATTGGTCAAAATTATAAAGCTGCATAAAAACACGAAATTAGTGAAAGACGATCTGATATATATTTGTCTCCAATCATATCATACATAAAAAAGACTTGATCAATCAAAACAAACATAGCAAACACTACTAGTGTTACAATATAACAGAATGAGCTAGCAACAAAATAGACTTCAGTATTCTTTGACGAGGTCTATACGGTCACATCCTTCAATCTCTTCGACTTCTACCTTAATTCTCACAGCTGAAGCCTCCATAGATACTTTCCAAGACCCAATCAACTTAATCTGTTTCAATGATGGAATATCAGCAAAGCTAAGTGGGATCTCCTCAAGGTCATCACACTTTTTTATAACAAGTGTTTCAAGCAAGGGAAATGATTCCTCCGAGGCATCCCACTTTGAGATA